TCACACGTCTTTTTGCGGGTCTGACCATGTGCACGCTGTTTTTTCAACATTGAATTTCTTCCTGCTGACCAACAGCCCATGGTTTATATCCTCTCTTCTCTTCAGTTCTTGTATCTTCTATTTGTTTCAGTTCTCCTACTGTTTGACCTGCCTAAAATGGGAAGTTTCTTCTAATGGTCACTTTTTCTTGCTTATGTTAGGCCCTGGAAACGAACTGCATGAACGGGCTCTGCAGAGCTCTTCTCGTGGCTCTTCCTTTGCTATGTTGACACAGCATAGCCAATATATTTATTCCTTGATATATTTATTATTTATTAGCTTTTTATCCTGCTTTTACTACTATTATAAATAACTCAGGGTGCCAAACATAGCTAATGCTCCTTCCTGATCTTATTTTCCCACAACAACAACAACAAAGTGGGTTGAGCTCAGAGAGAGAGAGAAAGCACGCGATTGGTCACCCAGCCAGCTTGCATGCTACGGTGGGACTAGAACTCACAGCGTCTTGCTTTCTTGGCCAGCACCTTAACCAATCTGACTTTATCAAATATCTATTAACACTTTAATTATTGCTTAACATTGGGGAATAATGCAGGCACAGGGCCTTGGAGTTTTCTGGCTTTTATGTTTAGTTCCTGTCTGGCTGAGCATGGAGCAATGGGGGTCTTGATAGAGTCCATCTTATTGCAATGAGCCTTTGAAATCTGGCTCTTCTGGACCATGGGCCAAAGTCTATCCTGCCTGGGTGTTCAATAAATGTACACACAGATTTTAGAGGCAATCAGTTGTGAAGAAGAGCTGTGGCTCGGCCTGCCTGAGTTGTCCTGCTTGGCTTCATGTGGTTCTCCCAAGAATCCGGCTTGGCAGGTGACTGAGCTGGCCTTGGGCATCTTTTTATGCGCTTCAGGAGGAGTCCTTGATGCCCAACAGGTTTGGAGGAAGCTATTGGCCAATGTGCTAGATTACCGCTTCTGTGCTCCCCTGCTATGAGGTGCAAGAGCATCAGGTGGCTTAAGCTTCATCTACTGACTGATGCAGGTCTCTGTCTTTTAATCTTTTTCTTCTTTTCTACCCCAAATAGCGGGACAGCTCTTTTTTAAGGGCTCCTACAAGGAGTTCCTTTTAATGCAGCTCCATATTACAGAACCATCTTTGTCCCGTCACAACAGCCCATCTCACCTGGTCAGGTAGGAAAGGCATGTTGCAGGCCCCACCAGTCAAAGAACTCCGACTGGGGGATCCAGGAAGAGAGCCCTATGGAATATTCTCTGCCCTATGGAATATTCTCCCCCCCCCTTGAAGGTGAGGCAGCCTCCCCCCACTCTTCTGGTCCTCCGCAAAACACTTGAGACGTGGCTCAAGGGCTTCTTAGGGGAGCTGGCAGCTGTGGGGCTGATTGGTGCCCGGAGATGCTTTCCTTCGCCTTTTATATATCATCCTTGCCTCCTTCTTACCTTTATACTGTTTTATATTTTAACATTTTATTGTACACCCCCCCAAAGACCCTCTCTGAAGGAGATGGCTGTTCAAAAATGTGAAAAATGAATAAAAACAAATAAATGTTAACTCAAGTCCATCCTTGGGCTAATCTTTCATCTTCCAATTAGGTTTCTTGAGTGGAAAAACACATCCTCCCTCTGCCTTTGATGGCCCCGTGTTGCTTTGCTGCCTGGGCTCTGTGGGGACCCTTTGGGTTGTCGGCCAGGGTTAGCCGCCTTTGACTTTCCAAGATGCCCCTTTCAAAGCCGTTTAATCTCTTCCAGGCGACATTCAATCGGGTCCTGGAAATGGCTTCAATTAATTTTGCTGCCTGGTCTGCTCCCCCTTAATGGGAACAGGAACTTGAGGGGGCTTTGAAACGGAACAGAGATTTCCAGAGGAGTTAATTGGCAAGGCAGAATATTGTTTGCAAGCTCTTTGGGGAGAATCGGGAATATTTGGGACCTCCTGGGGACGCCCGTTGCGGGTGGCGGGTGAGGGACAGGCTGCCTCCATCTCCTTTTTCGCCCTGAGACTTTGCTGCTTTAGGTGGGTCTCGCAAACCCCATGATGTGTTCTGGATGTGTCTGGTGAAACAGGCTGCAATCTATAAAAGCTTGTGTAGTGGGAGTCCTTTGGACTGGGACAGCCACAGTCAAATCAAAGAAAATGACAAATGGGATAATTTTTAAAGCCTTTGTTGCTCCCGGCAGAAAAGTTTAACGCCGTTCCCCCTTGGAATCCAGAAGTCAAGAATTTAGGCTTCAGAAATTATCGCCACCGAGCACTGACTGATTTCTGACTGCAGATCTCTCTGATCTGCAAGTTGGAGCATTGAGGAATTAGGCTCTGACTGCTGGACATGTGCTCCCCAAAGGCCCTTGGCTGAGGTTTGTCTCTCCCAGTTGTCAAGGATAATAAAAAGGGAGGCAGAGCCGCCCACCAGCGGTGCTCAAGTTCTCAGGATCCACAGGTTTTTTTCCTGTGAAATATGAAGCCTGGTGCAACTTTTGGGTAATTGCATAACACCTGGTTGCACCTGCTGGAGTGTTTCGTGAAGAGTTAAGTAATGCCTGCAAAGGGAACGGCATGCATGACTCACGGGCAGCGTCTTGAGTTTGGAAGGCAGCTCCTGACAGGGCAGTTGGGAGATCGGATGCAGAAAGCAGGGCTGAAGATGGAAGTAATTCAGAGCGCAGTTTCAAGACACATGGCTTCTGGGCCTGGGACTGATGTCACGCTCCATTATCCTCTTCCTGCAAATGGATGTGGTTTGATGGCAGTGCATTCTTTCTCAGCCCACCGGCCTGAGAAAAATATGGGGAAGTTCCTTCCTGGAACTTCAGCAGCTGTTCAGGCTCCTGGGATGTTAACGTTTAACCTCACTGCAGCATCTCGTAGCTACCGGATCTCAAGGCAGGCAAGATAAAAAGGGCTCTGGGCTCTGGTGCCTGCAGGGCGTTTTCCTTCTCCCCCGAAGAGACCCTCTGCCTTTAATCCACACGGCGCATTCTGAGGTGGGATATAGCACCATTTTCCTGCACAGGTAGTCCTCGCTTAACAGCTACAATTTGGATGAGAATTTCAATGGTTGAGTGAATTGGTTGTTAAGCGGGATGCCACGTGACTGCCCACATGACTGCTTCACTCAATGACTGCAATTCTGACGGTCTCTATTGTGGTCGTTAAACGATGATATATGTCATTAAGAGACAGAGCCCCAAGGAAGGAGTTACTCCGGGAGGGTGGGGAAAACCCAGAGAAGCTGAAAATCCAAGCAGGATTTTCAGCCCTGGAGGGAAAGGCTCTCGGTCTCCCCAGGCCCCCTGAGACACCCCCCCCCCATGGCTCCCTTCTTTACCGGGCTGCCTCGCTGTTCAGAAGCCGAAAATCCTCCCTGTCAAAACCCATGAAGGATTTTCAGCCGGGGTGAAGAGACAGACGCTCATGCGTGGCCTGAGGCAGGATCTGCTCCCTCGGCAGGCGGCTCTTTCAGCCCGTTCCCAGAGATGAGAGGAGTCCACTCGGCAGGCGCAGCAACAGCCTGCAATTCCCCACTGACTTTCTGGGGAACCTGGCAAATGGCGGTCATGTGACTGCGAGGTGCCTGGCAACTGGTTGTAAGTGTGAACAGGTTGCCAGGTGCCCAAAATGCGGCCGTGTGATGATGACGATGGTTGGATTCCTGGTGACCGCCTGAACCAGCCTCTGCAGTTGTCTAGGGTTAGGGTTTTTGGAAGTGGTTTGCACCTGCCTTCTTTTTCCTGGGGTTGAGAGAGAGGAACGGGCTGAAAATCATTCAGCTGACTTCATGCTTCAGGCAGGACTAGAACTCATGGCCTCCTTGCTTCTAGCCTGATACTTTTAATCACTCCACCAAATTTGATTCTTGTAGTTATATGATTGAGTGTCTTGAATGACTCTGGCCTTCCTTATACACAGAAAAGTTAGAGTTACAGAATGCAGAATAACCAAGTTGGAAGGGAGGTCTTGGAGGTCTTCTAGTCCAGCCCCCTGCTCAAGCAGGAGACCCTACACCATTCCACTCAAATGGCTGTCCAGTCTCCTCTTGAAAACCTCCAGTGATGGAGCGCCCACAGCTTCTGGAGTTATGGTGTACCACTGGTTGATTGTTCTCACTGTCAGGAAATTTTTCCTTAGATCTAGATAATATTCTTAGTTAATAGTAAGGTTTCTTATTATTACAACAATATACTTGATGCGGCATTTTATGTGCTCTTGGTAGCTATAACAGGAAGAAGCTATAGATTTAGACCTAGTAGTGGATCTCTTAGCTATTGGTAATACATTAATAAGAGTTTTAAATAGCAACAAATTGAGTGTTCCCTGCTTAGATCTCTACAGAACGAAAGCACCAAAATGAAGTAAGCAGGATCTTTGCTTGGCAAATTATGAGTTTTATTCATTTTGATTCTCCAGAAGAATTCCTGGGCTCAGATTGCTATCATTTTTAAGTCTGTCTTCTGCATCAAGATCAGCTTGATGGGCATTAAGATTCTGGGGGATTAAAAAAAGCCAAAATAGATTCTAAAAGACTAGTATCTGCAGATTATTTTTTGCCAGAATGCCCCAACATTGGGCATTAGACTGATTTACATATAAGTCTTCATTTTGTGTTATGCTGACACTTGAAAATATAAATCCATTATAAGCAGCAGACTGTAGTTAATCATGGAGTGACAATATCAGCAGCAGCAGCGATGTTTTAAGACTACAGGGGAATCTTCTTGGCACAGAGGGAGGACTTTCATCCAGTGCTTGGGTTGAAGACCATCTTTGTAATAGATCAACCATGGTTTGGCCTTGAAAAAGCCGGGGTTTCACCTGGTCTTATTTTCCTGCCTATACAATGGGTGTAATAAGAAACATCAGAGCAATCTGAAAATATTCTAAAGAAACTAAGAATGTCCCAAGAAAGCAGGTTGGAATGCCTTTTTGAAGATATTCTGAATGGGTCTTAATACAGATGTGAAAAATAATAAATCCTTTTGGACTTTTAGGTCCCCCGGTGGCAGCTGCAGTGAGGTCCCATTTTAACAACTGTCCAGATGCCCACAGTACATTTTGTTTCCACGGGACTTGCAGATTCCTGGTGCAAGAAGAAGAACCTACTTGTGTGTAAGTGTTTACTTTTGCATTCTGAAGTGCTTGCGCAGGTGCATCCAAGGGCTTTATAGCTGAGGGGGAGCAGAGCAAATGGAAAGAGCCCCGGAGCCGTACTGTAGAGAGCTGAGAGGCCTCTGGACATAGAAGGGCGGGAGGGGAAGAGGGTCTCCTGAGAAGGCCCGCTTACCTGCAGCTGTTGCACTCTAAAAGGGGAGTTTCACTGAAACCCAGGGCCCCATAGTGCCCCGTAGCAGAAATGGCCCAACACTGCTGAGGAATTTGGTTTGGGCCTGATCCGTAATACTCCTCCAGCGATTTATTTAATTTATCTCTGTGCACCAAAAGTTAACACTCCAATTGGAACATCTGTCCAGTCTTTTTCTTGAGAAACTCTGATTGCTCCGACCACGGGGTCCCTCGCTTCTCCCCTCCTTTGTGAGGACAATTTTGATGGCAAACGCTTTTCCACTGCTTCTCCCTCACCGGAGAGGTCCTCGGGCTGCCAAAACAGCCATCCCGGTGCCTGAATCTGGCTCGGGGCACTGGGCAGCAGGGGGGCTTGTTCCCCTCCAGAGCCTCTCGCGCTGTTGCAGTCTGGAATCCAGATCGTCTGCCTGCTCTGGGCAGCCGTGGCCAGCGAAGGCGTCCAAACCCCACTTCAGCTGGAATGAGCTGAGCTGGTGGTCTCCCCTCCCTCCCCTCCTAAGATGAGACTTTGGCTTCCATTTTCCTTGTGCAGGTGCCATTCTGGCTACATGGGTGCCCGCTGCGAGCATGCCGATCTCCTGGCAGTGGTGGCTGCCGCCCAGAAGAAACAAACCATAACCGCCTTGGTGGTGGTTTCCATCGTCGCCTCCATTGTCGTTATCATGGTCTGTGTCCTGATACAGTAAGTATAGTTATGTGGAGTGCTGGTTTGAATTTGCATCTGAGCTGCTGACCAGGAGGGCTCCTCTGGCACAGGGCAGGCCCCACAGCGCCAGGGGGCAGGAGAAAGAGGGGATCCACCTGGAGGAATGCAGCTTCGGGCAGACTACTGTGGGATTGCCTTCCCAAGCATTGCCTCCATTGAACCCTGGAGGGGGAGGGCAGAGGGCTACATGCAGCTTGTTCTAATTTTCAGGGCAAAACAGCTGCAGGTGCGGCTGTCAAGCTTGGGGCAGGGCTCTGGGAGGCCAAACAGCCCTTCTGAGCATAAAACATCCCCAAATGCTCCAAACAGCCGGACTGGCCCTCAAGATAGCCGGCTGCAGAGGAGTGTTTGCAACTCAAAATGTTTTGTGCACATCATTGCATGAAATGAATGTTTGGTTGCCCTGCGCTTGGGCACTGGCTGCTGGTCAGCTCCCACAAGAAGTATCTCCTTGAAGTCACAAACTCCTAGTTGGGAATCTTACTTTATACTTAGGAGTTCTAATTCTCTCAATAGGAATAGCTGGGTGAGATGCTGCAGTGCCTATTAATGCTAAACCCAGGCTGTAACTGTCAGCATCATTTAATAAGCTATGAAGTGCACAAAATGCGGGCATGAACCTCTGTGTACAGCAGAGCTGCCTTTTGGGTCAGAGCCTGAGGCAGAAGTCTCGGCTTTTGGAGGATTGCAGCTTGGCTTCCTTGAGGGGTTTGGGAGGACAAATGGTTCTGGAGAGCCTAATTCTTGGGGGGGGGGGTCGGGTCAGACCGCCAAATTTGGCTGTCAATATTGGGCTAGCCGAAGAACTGCTGAAAAGACGGGGATTCCACTCTTGGATTGAAGGGCTTTCATGCTGTTGACAGACTCGGGGACTGTGGTCCGTTTCTGGTGTGAATCTGAGCCCCTGTGGGACCCTGCGCACAAACCTTGGTTCAGACAGGCTGAAGCCACATGTCCCCAGCCCCGCAGAGGCTGCCTCCCAACAAGGACCCCATTGTTTCTGCTCCGGAAACTGATTCTCTGCTCCTTCCTCTCCCTCCTTGCCTGCCAGCCATTCCCGTCCTTGGCCCAAACTTTGTTTGATTAACCCACCCTTGTGTGTGTTTCTGTAGTTGCTGCAGGATACGGAAGCCCTGCGAGTGGTGTAGGACGATCGTCTGCAGGCATGAGAAACCCACCGGGCTCCTGAAGGGGGCCACGTCTTGCTGCCACTCAGAGACAGGTAAATCAACAGTATCTCTGCTAATCTGGCGTTTGTCATTTCAGACAATAAAATCCTGGTTCTTTTATTTGGTGGGAATGAAGAAAGTAGATTGGCACTCAAGCATTCTGGCTTTGAAGCAGAAGGGAAAGGAGAGCCCTGAGGACCCGGCAGTGTTCCAGGCGAGAGCGCAAAGTTTGCCGGGCAGGGGATTGAGGGGGGGGGGGCTCTCCAGCCTCTCTGTGAAGAGGACTTCTGTCTTCAGAAAAACTATGGGAAATCCTCAGAGGGCTCCCTGCACCTGAACACGTGGGCTGAGCTTAAAAGCTAAGCAGGGCCAAGTCTACTCACTCCTGGCTGAGAGACCACCAGGCCTGCAAGGCCAGATGGGAGGCCAGGAAGACCATCCGAGGGGAGCCCCCTTCCATAACTCTGCTGAGAGAGTATCGGTGGAGTTCCCAGGAGCTGTGCTTGGCTCAAGAGAAAGCTGACACAGAGGGATGGATTAGAGACAGAGATAGAATCGTGGTTTGTAACACTTAGTATGAAAAATACCAGTCCCCAATCCCATGTCCTCAAAACACACCTCAGCAGACCATGAGGCTGCCCCGGTTTTATAGTTCTGTTCCTCTGATCAACAGAACTGGAACATAACAGGAACTCCCAAGAGCCGAATTCACATTTTCTCAGGCACACAGCACAGAGAGCTGGGTTCACCCAAATCCCAGATCTCCTGGCCCTGCCTCGAATGCTGCAGAGTGAGCAGACCAGGATGTCTTCTGCTTCAGGCGTGGGGAGGACTGAGGACTGAGGAGGACTGAGCCCCAGCCTTCCCCCTCCTGCCCCGGAGGGAACAGTCTTCCTATAGATGGGGCTTCTGTAGGCAACAGCCTTCTGGCAGGGGGGAGCTCTGGTCCTGGGGTGGTGCCGAGCTGGGAATTGACTTGCCCTGCAATGTTTTAGAGATTCTTTTGACAACAATGCTTGTGGGCACAGTTGTAAGCAGGGCTAACCCACATACTCCCTGACCCAATTCTTGACTAGCATCTGATGTCTTCCTTTGGAGAAAATAAGATTTTCCTTACTGGATCATTTTATGGTTCAGCCGTAAACCAAACCTCTGTCAGCCAAATGGCCTTAACAGTTCTTGGGGAAGGAGATACAGTGGCCTCCTCTTCTTCTGCTCCACCCAATGTTCTTCAGAGGTAGATTCTTTCTGGATGGGAAAGTCGGCTCTCTTTACTGAAGGCCTGTTTGCCACATCTTTGTCTAGTCTTCTGCTTGAGCAAAAGGGTTGAACTAGAAGATCTCCAAAGTCTTTTTCCAACTATGTTAATTCTGTTAAATAACCCCTTTTGAAGTCATGATGATCATCCTCCCATTGTGTGGTCAGTATTCTGTTGCTGCGCAAATATTAGTCCACAATAAAGAGGTTTCTTTGGTATGGACTTACCTAATTGCTTGTTTTGCAGTTGTCTGACAGAAATCAGGTCTCCTGCAATTCCACGGATGGCAACAGCACAGAGCTCTGCCTGGGAGGTCTACAATATTCTGAGAAAAACTTTAATATGGACAAGACAGTTTCCAGGGGTTTAACCCGAAAGCCAATTTAGTGCAACTTTTGAGGCCTTCTCCTAATCTTCCACCATAATGCTGGTCGTCCAGAACTTTGCTAAAGGAGCAGCACGGTCGCTGTAGCTTCTGTGTTGTTTGTGACAACCAGAAAATCTCCAAGACTCCTTTTTAGTCGAAATAGAGAACAGTGACAATTGGCAGCTTTATATTTACTTTAAGCACCAAAGGACAAGCTTGTTCAAGAAAGGGAATGTATCTGGTTTGTCTCGGAAAAGATTTAACGGAGACCTGATCCAACGTAACCCGAAGGGCTGGCTTTGATTTGCACATCTGTTACGTCTTTGACTCCTCTCCAATGGAAGGATGCTCCGTGTTAGGCCTTTGGGAGTAGGACCACCCTCCCTGTGAGCATTCAGCTGCAAGTGTTCTTTGAGTGGAAAGACACCAAGACCAGGAGACTTCCCAAAGTGTCTGTGTTGGTAGTATCCTGCTTGGGGAAGCAGAAAAAAAAAATGAACGGGGGGGGAGGGTAGACTGGCCAACCGTCTTTCAGCCAGAAGAGAGAAGAACTGCTTCTCCCTCCCCCCTTCCCTCCATATGAGCCATTGCTGCTGGCCAAGTGAGAAGCCTTCTCGGCCAGGTTCTCTGAGTGACGTGGTGGCAGCTTTGCTACTTTTTTCCAGCAAGACAACAGACCATAGAAGCCTTAGTTATTACATGACAGGTAGAAATGGGATCTTGAAAGAGGTGCATCTGGGCTTGTTTTTAATACTGACTTAAAAACGCCTTTGAGTTAGATGAGAAGTTTAATTAAAATCAGTTTTTAGCAGGGGTGTTTTTAAAACACTGCACTGTTTCTAGGTTTACATGTTTGTAGGGGATTTCTGACTATTGCAGTGTCTTGGGAGACAGAAGGTTCCTCCAAGTCACAAGGACTGGGGACAACACTCCACAATTGTGCGGGTGCTTGCATGTTTTGACCTCCAGGCCCGACATAAGGGTTTGGTTCCAAGGGTGAGATAGATCTGGGAAAGCAGTGCAAGTGTGAGGCAGGATGGCATTCCCTGAGTCCAGGGGAACCTTGGAAGCTGAGTTCTTCTCATGGAGGTTGAGGAGTCCTGTTGTTGTGGGAAGTTCTGTTCTGAAACGAGGCCTTTGGCAGTTGCATGAAGGTGTAAAGGATTGGCCCTGTGAGGACAAATGCCCTAGTTTCCAAGGCAGAAGTGAGAGAGATGGTAATAGATATAAGAAATGTCTCAAAAGACATTCTGAATTGGCCATCAATTCTGATTTACATGCAAGCCAAAACTTCCACTGCGAAGTACCAGTTTCACCTTCTCTCTTTTGCTGATGGAAAGAAGACATATTTGCCGACACTTCTGGTTTTTCAGGTTCCATCTTCCCAAACGGATGGCTCGGCATGTTGGTTGAAGCTTCATGCCATATACTTTGTGGCCATATGACAAAAAAGAAATGAAATAGGGACAAATTGTTTTGTTTCTCAAGTTATCTGGCTGACAAATGCTTCCGTTACTTTTAGTGGATCGATTCTTTTTCTGCCTTATTATAATGGCATTCCCTCTTTGACTTTTCTCAAAGGGGAAATAATTGGGTTTTTAAACTCGCCCCCTTCTTTCCTTGCCTTGCTTCTCAACAACCAATCTATAAATTGGGAGTTTCTCAAAAAAGAAAGAAAGAAAGAAAGAAAGAAAGAAAGAAAGAAAGAAAGAAAGAAAGAAAGAAAGAAAGAGAAAGGCATTCCAAAAAACACGGCCTTTTGCACTACCCCTCAAGGCATAATCAAAGTCACTTAAGTCAAGAGCCAGAGATCTAAGGATAATGTGCATTGGCTTAGTTGAGAATTGCCCCTGGGAAGACCTTGATTCCTACCAGGCCTAGTTCAGGAGCTCCCGATGCCCCAGTCTCAGAGGGCATCAGTAGCAGAGAGGCTGCGCTTGTCCTGAATTGCGTTTTTGATACTTCGAATGGTAAACCAGCTTCTCCAGGACAGAATTCTTCTCTCTTTCAAGGGGGGGGGGAGGAAAGACCCTCTGCTTCTCCAGGTTTCTGTTTTGTGATGCTGTTTAGAAATAAATTGCACCCTTTCAGCTAGCAATTGTTTAAGCTGAAGCGACCTGGACTTGTGGAATTGATCAATGCTAAGCTCAGCGTGGAAGTATCAAGGCTTTGGGGGAGTAAAATGGTTTAAAATTCTCAAATGAAAGCTTTCATCTTAAGTGCACTTGAATTATGCTGAATTATCAGCCACTAAATGCCTCTTCCTGATTCTGTGTGTTGACTCAGAAATTAACACTTTGTCTGCACAATTTAAGTTGAATTTGGTCCATAGCCAAACTGAAGTTTTATTTTTAGCCAAGGTTACACTTTTTTCTTCTGTATATGTTGCACTGAAGGTTACTATTTAATATTTTAATTTATTGTGTGGATAAATTAATTTGATTCATGTAAGATGTTTATGTGATTGGTTGTTATTTCTTCCTTAATATTCTGAGTTAATAGATATTTAAATGAGTGAAATACACTTTTCATAATACTTTGTTGTATTTTTTTTTAAAAAAGGAAGGCTATAAATTAAATAAGGAACTCTTTATGCAAATGTTAGCACTCTGTGTCTCATTGCAATGCTACCTCTTCTCTTGAACGGACCCGAAGCAACAGTTTGTGTAATGGGGACAATTATTCTTTCCGGGTGGCTGTGAGTGTAAGGAGGTTGGCCCAAAGCCACGTGTTGTGTTGCATACCAGCTCCCTTCTTCCAGGGTGATTGTATGAACTGTGGTTGGATGAGCCACAGAGACTTGCTTCACACAACAGAGTAAGCCACGGACCACAGTTCACAAACAACAATGGCTCCATTCATACAGTAGTTGGATGACACATCGCTGTAAACCACAACCAAACCAACCAACCAAATTACTCATACAGGCAAAACAAGTGGTACGTTTCAGTGATCTGACCAGCCTCTCTATGATATAAAATTATCCTGTTTTTCTGCAAATTTGAATGCTTACTTCAATCATTTACGTGCATTGTTTCCATATTTAAAATAGGAAAGGGTGTGTGGCAAGTGCAGGGTGATTAGAAAAGGATTCCTATGGCACCCGGAGGTGATTGACTGATTGGGACGACAGTTGGACAGGAGAAGGCAATTCCATAAGGGAACCCTGATCCTTCTAATTTTTTGGATTGTAATGTTTCTGACTACTTTTGACAACCATCAAGATTCCCTGAGAGCTTGAAAAGCAAATATAATTCTCTCTTACCAAACGGGAGAGCTTTAAAAGCTTCCTGGCTGCCAACAGGCAATCTCAACTATAAGAAACCTAATTAAGAAATGGAGGTTACATGGAAAATTTGAGGTCAAGGCTGGGGAAATGCTGGCTGAGGAATTCTGGGAACTGAAGTTCACACATGCTGAAGTTGCTGAAGTTGAAAAACACCGATCTAAAACATGCAAGAGAAGACCATGATAAGCCTGAAATATTTTGGAACAAAGTGCTTTGGACTGATGAGACAAAAATTGAACTGTTCAGCCACAACTACTCATGACACACTTGGAGAAAAAAGTGAGAGTCGAAAAAAAGAATATTTTGTCAATTGTTGAGCCTGGGGGTTGCTCTACCATACTTTGGAGTTGTATGGCAGCCAGTTGCACAGGAAATATTGTGTGGGTGGAAGGAAGTAGGGATGCAACTAAATATCAGTGAGCCCTAGAAGTCTCACAGTCAGGAAGGAATGGAAGTTGAGAAGAGGTTGGATGTTTCAGCAAACCAACGCAGTTGAAACCCAGGAATGTAAAAGTGTTGAATGTCTTCAAAATTCAGATGGGAGATTTTAAACATGCTGCATCCGAGAATATTTATGAACCATGGAAACATACAAGGAAAAAAAACCCAAAATAATTGAGTTTCCAAGGGACTCACAGTGAAACTTTCTCTGTTCTTAAATAAAACAGGTGGTGAAGTTTACTGGAAACTTATTAAACAATACCAGCAAATAGCCTGAAACTTCAAGGATACAGTCAGGAAAGTAGAAATGCAAAAAAATAATGATAAAAAAGTTTCAGCTCGTAAAAAACGAAAATTTTCAGGTAAATGATTGGTCCACTAATGAGAAGATGGCAAGGTGGTGACAAGTAGCACAGAGAAAGCATCTGTCTTCATACAAAAGGAAAAAAATAGCCCAACCTACCAAAAGCAGCACTGTAGGACACAAAATAGGGCTGCAAGTCAAAACTGGCAAGAAAATGGTAAGAGAAGACCTGTTCACTCTCGATGAGTTCAAATCACCAGAACCGGATGCATTACGTCCCAGAGTCCTGAAAGAGCTGCCAGACGTGATCTCGGAACCACTGAACAATATTCTTTCAAAGAGCACCAGGGAACTACCAGAGGACTGGAAAAGAGCTGCGGGGGAAGAAAGGGATCTAGGAATCTACAGACCAATCAGCCTGACCAGGGAAAAATCCCGGAAAGGATAAGTGGTGGGTTTGTTCTGGAAACCGTCTTTCCCAGACCCTTGGGGCGAATGTCTTTGGCTGGCTCAGCTGAGCAGCTCACAGAGATCTCCTCTCTCCAGATTTCAAGACTTGCTTGCTCCTTGACCATTAGAAGAAACAAGAGATGCAACTCCCACCTTCCCTTTCCATTGGTGAAGGAACGTTGAAGTCAAATTCATTTCAGTAGGTGTGTTAAAAAAGAAATCAAAGCTGCACTTGAATCTGGCTGGATATTTTGCGATTGCCCTGATTTTATTTTTCCTGATGGGTCAACCTGTGGATCTGCTTCAAGAGGAACAGCTGACCGGCTGCTGAGCCATCTGCACAGGGCTGGGTGTGAGGCTGAGAATCTCAAGCCCTGGTGTCAGGTGCAGCTGCAATAAACAATCATTTCCTTAAATCCTCCAAGGGAATCATCCACCTGTCCGGGTCACAACATGGGCGTGTGTCCCAAAGGAGATCTGCGGGTTCCCGTGGCCAGAATGAGGCCCCACTTGAGCAAGCAGCTTCATTTCCCAAGCTGGACACTCCTCCATATTCCAGGCTGTTTTTAAGGCCAGCCCTGCCCCTTGGCAAGGTGTGACTGTGTACAACAGACCGAGGGCAAAAGAACGGACAGGTTTTTCTCCATCTGCAATTGTGCTAGAATTGGAGGCCACCCAAGGAAACTGACTAGGAGAAGATTAAAGCTGATAAGTGGAAGTATTTCTCCACCCAGGGTGTGATCTGCCGGCTGAACACACTGTCACGGGGTCTGGGGTTGGCTGCTGGTTTAGTGGGCTTCCAAAGGAGCCCAGAGCATCTCCCCGAGGACAGGCCACTCGGTGGCCACAAGGCTTGAGGACTGGGCAGCCCACCTTGACCTGCCACATTCAGGGGAACCGCCGGGGGTGAGGACACTGCCTGGATCTCCTCTCGGTAGGCCACGGGTGGCCCCCCTGCGGGAGAGAGAGAATGCTGGCTGGATAGGCTGAGTCCCGCTCGTTTC